TTATATGCTCTAAGAAAAATGAAATTTTATTTTCTTTAGGCTATCTTTTTTTCCAGCTTTAAAATATATTTAATAAATAATATATTTAAAAAAAATTAATTTTATAATATTATAATTTTTATTTAAATAATTTTTTTTAAATAATTTTTATAATATATTTTTAATTATAATAATGTATATATTTTTTATTTTTTTACTTAGGATAATATATTTTTTATTTGAAATAAATATTATAATAATATATTTTATAGGTAGAAGTGGAATATTAAAAAGTCTATAAGGGTATAATGGTTCAAAATTTTGGCTCCCCTCCAAAAACCCCCAATTTGGAGGGGAGCCAAAATGGGGGGAGGGAGGGGAGGGAGGGGACATTTAGCTCCCCTCCCCTCCAAAATTTTTAACCAAATAAAGGGAGGGGCTCCCCTCCCCTCCCCTCCCCTCCCCTCCAACCAAACCCACCCTTAAGTGCTACCTTAGATAGGGAACCACATTGAGGAAAAAATAAAAGCCAAAGGAGGATTACGGCCTTGGCCACAAAATTCTTCCTTTCTCATCTCACCGTCTCCATGCTCCTTCTCCATCTTCTTCGTTGTGTTGTATTATAAATGTTTCATTAAATTTGATAAATGGAAAATAACCTTAGAATAAAGACCCATAGATATGATTTTATAAAAAGAACTATAGGGAATATAATTTTTATTTATTATAATATAACATATAAACACATGGATGTAATATATGAAGACTAGGATCCATAGGGTATGCAACTCATCGATCATCCTACTACGTTTGACTTCTCAATTTATATTGGTCTTAAACTCCTAAAGTCTAGAATCCAGCTGCAAGATTTATGAGTTTTCACTTGGTATATGTATTTTTATAATGTGAATCATAGGGTTTTCCAAATCTTAGCATGGTTAGGCTTAACAAACAAATTAATGGCATTAGTTCGAATTCAGTTGTAGCTGCCCACCTAATGCATCAGAAGCCAAGTTAGTTCCAATAGTTACATACACTCATAGTGTTCTACTTACTGCCTAGTACTATGTCCATTCCCAATAATTGTATTCACCGTAGTTTAATTTTTGCTTTTTAATTATCTCTTCTCTATTTCAAAAACTTACGCTACTTTAATTCAATCTATTAACATATTTAAGAATAGTCCTAAAAAGTCTAAAAATTATATTAGGTTTCCTTGTATGTGCATTAAAGTTTTAATTCAGTAAGTTTCCTTGCATATGTATGTACGTGCCTAAAATTATATTAAGATTTTTTATTTTTAGCTAACGTCTTTGTCTGAATAAATGTGCTTAAATAAGAAATGTATTGTTTTAATCTAATTAATTAATTAATATGGATGTAACCTATGAAACCTGCTTCTTTTGAAAAAATATTATATATACTTAACGTGAAAGTGATGTGATTATTGTATTGGTACCTATAGCTAGGTTGATTTGTTTTGAGGAGAACAGCCACTTGACAACTCAAAATTATAATGTTAAGTGCTTTCAAAGTTCAAACCCAGTTGGTTTTACGTCCTCGTATACTTTATAAAGTTACTTTGATTCCTTTTGGCTATTTGATCCTTCATAATTATTAATTATCTTAATTAATAATTTTGACGAAGTTGACAAAGCGCTACTTTACATAATAATCAAAATTAGCCTAAATTGGTTGTTGGCAGAAGAAAAAAAGAGCCTAAATTGGTTGGATGATAACATTCACATGTGGTCAAAACTGTGAATCTTATAGTTGAGAGGATCCAATTTATAGGTAAGCAGAAAACTCCTACCAAATAAACTAATATACTATCTTAGAATATAGTATTGTCAAGATGCTCGACTCAAAATAACTTAATTAAATAATTATTTATATCAGTTCCTTTCCATTAGCAACTGGTTGGAAAATTAATAGTCTCACATTTACGAAATGGATAAATTATTGTGCAGTCCCATATAAATAATTTAATTATAAAAAATTTCACAATAAGTGAATGTAATGTAAAAACAAATTTTAGTGTAGGAAATGATAACTGATAAATATTACTCACTTGGGATGGGGCATTTTAATAATTAAATTGCTTATGTGTGTAACCGTGTAGTGATTTTTCTTCATAAAAAAACTACCAGTTATCCATTTTTTCATTGTTCCTACAACATCTGATATAAAAGCTTTCATGCAGAGATGTTATATATTTTGCCTCTATGGCTAGTTATCTCAGTCACAAAGTCACTTGCCACGTTTAAGGGCATGTTTGGATGCTCTAAAACCGTGGTTTCAGAAGTATTTTTCCGCAAAACGAGATAACCTCCTCTACATATTTACTTCGTAATCCGTAAAAACACTTCTGAAACCATGGTTTGGTTTCTATCCAAACACTCCCTAAATGAGGCTACCCCAACGTGAAGATCATTTATTATGCTTAGATGACGTTTCGAATTCAGAAAAATAAAAAGCAATGCTATTTGATGTCTATATTAAAAAAAAAAAACTAGATGTCTACAATAAAAAAATTAGATGCTGCAAATTTAATACTTTCATAAAAATATTAAAAATCTAAAGGTAGATGATAACAGTTTTGCAATTGTACGAGATTGTAATAAAATTAACATACATGGAATTTGCACTTTGACCAACCCAATTAATTATTAGTTTAAATATATTGTAATGAGTGAGAAAAACAAACTATAAAATAAACATGGCAAGAAGATTGATTTTTGAGAGAATATCATCAAAAGAATCGTTGGGGTTTTAAGATTCACACTGAATTATTAGTATATTTATTATTTATCGGATGTCCCCGAAGGGACAGTATATTTATTATTTAAATTGACTTTTAAATAATTATGATGACAATAATTTATTATTGAAATTGACTCTTAAATAATTATGATGACATTAATTTATTATTTAAATTGACTCTTAAATAATTATGATGACAATTATTTTTAAAATTTAGTAATAATCTAACAATTTATTAGTCACCTTTTACTTATTGCATATTGAATTGCTTCACACGATATCCAAATTCCACATAGTAACTAATTAAATTATGAAGTTATAATTTTAACTCAAATCAAATATCTAAAATTATCCCTAATTTAATTATTTATACCTATTTATTCATATTTAAGTTACTCTTTATCAATAGGAGATGCAGGCGGGTCACCCATAAACTACTTTTAACCAAGTTGTCATATAAGAGTTAGATTTAGATTAGAATATGGGGTGACTGAAAATCTTAAAAAGCACTTTAAAAAAAAAACTTTCATGTAAGTTGAAATAAAATTCATTTTATATACTTCCCTCAAAATTTGAAAAATTATTTCTGAAAAGTTATTTTAAACACTAGTATCAACTTAAGGAGGTCTCAATTAAGAAAATAAAAAACATATAATTATAAAAATAAAAAAATAAAACAATTTTACAGTCTACAATCGTAAATCACATATTACAAGAAATTAAGGCGTTGAGAAATAAAGGAGAAAAATAAATTATATTAAAAAAAAGCTTCACAACTCTAATAAACTACTTGTTCTCTATCTCTAAAAATATTTAAAATTCACATTTTCGTTTTTTTATCCCTTCAAGATTCCAATTTCCAAATACGATCCTTTAAAGTTGAATATATTTTAATTTTATTTTTCTATGCTGAATATGTACTCAAAATTTGTCTTTTATAAAAATAATATAGGTCCCTTTTAAAAAAACAAGTCACCAAACAATATAAATCAATGGGAATTGAGTCTAACAGAAGGGAATTAGTTTCTCATAATGCAACGAACCAATATTTGAATTTTTGCAGGAAAAGGTTCCTATATTTAATGTCTAATAATACTTCAAACAAAACTCTTTCCAATAACAGGATACATGTGAGTATAACCCAAAAAAAAAAGTCACCAAAAAACATAGAAGAAAAGCATCATGCTGTACATAAACTAAAATAACTGAAAATAAATTCTATGCATTGCACCGATGTATACAAATAAAATATAAAATGTATTATTCATGGAGAAAATTGGGGATATATCCCTCATTACAAATTTAATTGGCAAATAGTCCCTAGGATGATTGATTGCATAAGGGAAGATTAGTTGCATACAAAAGAAGGTAAGTTGCACAAAGAAAAGATAGTTTGCACAAACATTATTTGAATATAAGATATTAGTTTACATAAAAGGAAGATGACTTGCATATAAGGGAATTTCATTTGCACAAAGAGAAATTGAATTGCACATCACACAAAAGAAGATTATTACACATAAGAAAAAATAAATTGCATACAAAGAAAGTTAAGTTGCACCCAATAGAAGTTAAATTGCACAAAGTTCTTAAGTTTTATTTGCCAATTAATTTTTAATGAGGGATTTATCCCAAATTTTTCTTTATTCATGGCCAATAAATAGTGTATTGTTAGAATTTTTATATTTTCTATTGAGTTTTATTATTTGAGAACTAATTAAGCTTATGAGTGACTGACCCTGGACTGGCAAGAAAAATTAGGTTGATGACCGGTCTAACAAGTCCACACGGACACGGCTTAGTGATCATGGTTGATGGTTGATTTCAAAAAAGAGAATATCTCAGATAATAACATGAAAAAACCCAAACCTCAATTTCATTCCTCTCATGATTCTCAACCAAGTTTTACCGTAACAACTATGGGAAAAACAGAGTCTGCAACAAATTTTTTTTTATCCAATCTTCATTGTTAGATGATTTTGTACAACAAAATCTAAGACTATACATTTGCTGCACAGTTGATTGTGCTAGTGGGTACACCAGATCCTCTTTCTGGTTAGACTAACTGCATTTAAATACTAAGAACTGTTACCTCGTGTAAAAGGCCAAATATAATATATCTATTCCAAAAATTTAAAAAGAAGAAGAAGAAGAAGAAAAATGATGTTACTATCGGGCTATTAGGCTTTATATATAGCTTAAAAACACCAGTGTTGATCCACATAACGCAAGGTACTCCATTCCACAAAGTCAGAGACAACAATGGAGATTCCCAACCTCCATGGAAAGTCACGTTGCTTCTGCCTCTTCTTCAACCTCCTTACTGCCATCATTGCTTGCCTTGATTCTTTTGCGGCTGCAGAGACCCACTACCACGAATTTGTTGTAAGTGTTAGCTGTGAGTAGTAGTTCTAGATCATATACACCTCGTGTACTAAATATAAGACCCATGTTATAGTGTATAAAATAGGTTTTATATTTAGAACCAATTTAGAACCGAGGAGTAAGATACTGTGATGAATCTAGTTACTTACTGATTACTAAAACTTTGAAAATTGATTGAAATAGATTCAAACCACACCGGTGACGAGGGCGTGCAAAACCCTCAACATTCCCACTGTGAACGGGCAGTTTCCGGGGCCAACAGTGAGAGCTAGAAATGGAGATTCACTTGCTATCAGAGTGGTAAATGCAGGCAGATACAATATTACTATCCACTGGTAATATTCAATATAAGAGAAAAATGCCGGTTCATCATGGTTTGATATCCATTTTCCTCACAATCTGATATGTTTTCCTAGGCATGGCCTTCGAATGCTGCGAAATCCTTGGGCAGATGGACCTGGTTATGTGACTCAGTGTCCCATCCAACCAGGGGCCAGCTACACATACCGCTTTACTATCACTAACCAGGAAGGCACACTATGGTGGCATGCTCATGTGGGATTCCTCAGAGCCACTGTCTATGGAGCTATCATAATCTATCCAAGATTAGGCTCTCGCTATCCATTCCCAGTGCCAAGGCGAGAATCTCTCGTTCATCTTGGTAAGTTTTCTTAGAGAGCTATGCTCTAATAATGTCACCTATTGCCTTTGCAATGTAATTGAAGTTTATGATCAACAATGAAGAGTTCAATTGCTGTTAATGAGAAACTGCAGTTTCATGAATCAGATAGCGTTCATGACAGACTATTTCTGGTGATGGAACAGGGGAATGGTTTGACAGGGATCCTGTGAGTCTCTTAAGGATGACAGATTTTACTGGAGCACCTCCAAATGTATCTATTGCATACACAATTAACGGTCAACCTGGAGATTTCTACAGATGCTCAAGTCCAGGTTTGAATATTTCTATTAATATATTGAAAAATTAATAATATTAATATATTAAAAAATGAAAAATTCAAATAGAATGAATAATGAATATAGAAATCGAATTCTAAATTATTACATTAGATTTATATTAATATTAGATAATAATAATAGATTAATGATTAATAAAAAAATCAATAAAGAATAGAAATCATAGAAAGATAATTAGTCTATCTATAAGAGGAGATGATAATCATTTTCAATCACAACCACAAAATGAGTTGGGAGTGTCTGCCTCTTGTCAGCTGCGCCCCTAGCTGCCCTTTAATTTTGGAACCCTTCATTAATGTTTTTTGTTTTTCTTGAGCTTTTTTTAATCATTAGATTTTACATAATATGTGTGACATTTGATATATTATTCACAAAAAAATGTTTAGTTTTCAAATTTTTATGATTTTTCAAAGATGCAATACATTTAGAGTGTTGAATCTAATGTATTGCATCTTTGAAAAATCATAAAAAATTAAACACTAGACCATTTTTTTTGCAAATAATATATCAAAATGTCACGCATATTATGTAGAATCTAATGATTAAAAAAACCTAAAAAAATTTAGGAAGAGCCCCAAAATTAAAGGCAAGCTGACTCCCCCAACCCCTACAAAACGGGGGGAAAAAAGGATTAAGAAATGACAGGCAACTTATGTCAAATGAATTATGCAGATACAGTACGAGTTCCAGTAGAACCCGGTGAGACAATTCTCTTAAGAATAATCAACAGTGCACTTGAACAAGAACTCTTCTTTACAGTAGCCAACCATAGAATGACAGTTGTTGGCACTGATGCAAGTTACACCAAACCTTCCACCACAAGAGTGGTCATGATAGGACCAGGCCAAACATATGATGTTCTCCTCACAGCTGATCAAATCCCAGGTCATTACTACATGGCAGCACGAGCTTATGAAACAGCCCAAAATGCTCCTTTTGACAATACCACCACCACTGCCATCCTTGAATACAAATCTGCTAGCTGCTGCAACAATAGATTGTTAAGACCAATCTTACCAGTTCTTCCACGCTTTAATGATACCACAACTGCAACCACATTCACCAATGGAATCAGAAGCCTTTCCCAGAATAATGTGTTTACAAGTGTCGATGTGAGTCTATACTTTGTAGTTGGGCTAGGATTAATCAATTGCACAAATCCTAACAGCCCACGCTGCCAAGGACCTAATGGAACTCGCTTCTCAGCCAGCATGAACAATGTTTCTTTGGTACTCCCAAGAACCACTTCCTTAATGCAAGCATACTATCAGGGTATACCTGGTGTTTTTACCACAGATTTTCCTCCTGTTCCTCCTCTGCAATTCAATTATACTGGGAATGTGCCACGTGGCCTGTGGACGCCTTCTCGAGGAACTAAGCTGTACAGGTTGAGGTATGGTTCCAGGGTGCAAATAGTTTTCCAGGATACAAGCATAGTATCACCTGAGGACCATCCAATGCATATTCATGGATACGACTTCTACGTAGTCGGTTCAGGTTTTGGCAATTTCAACCCAGCAACGGATCCTGCTAATTTTAACCTTGTTGATCCACCTCAAAGGAACACTATAGGAACACCTCCAGGAGGATGGGTAGCCATTCGATTTGTAGCTGATAATCCAGGTAACATGCTACTGAAAAAATTATTAGTCTTGTGGGTTAAGGTTTGCCTTGGAAGTTTTTACCCAGGAGTGTTGAACATCTAAAAATTTTTTTTTTTAATTTAAATTTGCCCCATAAGTTTAAAATCGTAGCAAATTTACCTATTAAAAATGTTAACTGTTAATATCATTATTTCAACAGTCAACATTAGTTTTTTAATAGTAAGAGGCAAATTTGTTGCGATTTTAAACTTTCAGAGCAAATGTCCTCTAAACAAACCTTCCGGGTGCTCAGGGTAACTTCCAGGACAATTTTTCACTTTAACCCTTTTGTTAGAAAACATATTATTTATGTGACTTTTGTTCACTGGTGCAAAACAGGAATTTGGTTCATACATTGTCACATAGACTCACATCTTAATTGGGGTTTTGCAATGGCGTTGCTGGTACAGAATGGAGTTGGACCATCACAGACAGTAATACCACCACCAGCAGATCTGCCCCAGTGTTAAAATCAAGAATGCATTATTAGTAATAAATTTTATGTTCATGAAATATTGGCTCATTGTGTTGTGAATTCTCCAATTTTTTTTTCCCAATAGTCAGTGTGGTTTTGTACTCTCTTTCCAAGTCCAGACTAGGGTGATGCTCCATTAAGCAGATTATTAGCTATCTTGTTAAGTTTAAGGCTCTTGTATTACATTCAAAGAGGAATCCTTTCTTATCATGGCCACCATCAGTGCTTTTGTTCAGGAAAAGGAGCATAGAAGGAGAGAGGGGTGACTTTGAGTTTTTGTTTGTTTTGTTTTTAAATAAGGGGTAACATTGTAAATCTACCAACATTTTAAAATGTCAATTTAGTCATGCTGAATGATTTGGGATTTTGCAAATTCAGTGGCCTTCTTAGGTTTTGAAAATTCAATTATCATTTTTTTTTTGGAATTTTCTCCTTAAAAAATAATATCTTTAAATTTATTGAAGGAAAAAAAAATCTCACACTATCCCTAAAATGTGTACTGTACGCTTCTGGTCACTCCTCATTCAGACTCTAATCAATTTTCTAAAAAATAAAAAACCCTAATCAATTTAGAAGAACAAGTTGCCAGATTATCTGTCTTCTTCAATTGTGAATTCTTTATTTTTTCAATTATTTTTTTTAGTTTATACTTCCTTCAGACCTATTTATAACGAATAAATTATAATTATTATAAAACTAGTAAGGCAGCATCATGTGAAAGGATTTATTATACTACGAATGGTAAGGCAGCATCATTACGATTATTAAAAAATTTAATGAAATATTTGTGAACAATAGCGTAAAGTTACTGGGCTATTGCGGAATCTTGGGCCTAAGTCTGAAGGATCCGCATTTAATGGGCATCAACTTTTTGAGTGTAATAAATTTCGGATGCGATACGTTTAGCTCACTTGGGCACAAGGAAGCTGATGCTAAGAAGCCTATTATGAACATGATCATCCAAGCTCTTCTCCTTCGGATGTGTCATCTCAAGTACAGCCATTCACAACTAGCAGGAAATGGACATACCCTGGCTGCCCACCAGCCATCTGCCAAAAAGGCCCCCCTACTAGTCATAGACTGGGTTCGTTTACTTCATGCTAAGGGGTGTTTCGCATTCTCAAAACCGGTGTTTCAGAAACACTTTTTCACAAAATGAGGTAACCCCCTCCACATATTTACTTCGTAATCCGTAAAAGCACTTCTGAAACCATGGTTTGGTTTCTATCCAAATACTCCCTAATTGGTTTTACCGGACCGATTTTTAAATTGGTTGAGATAGTGGTTGAGATAGGGGATTAAAAATCAGTAGACTAGTCTGGAATCAATTCGTGGTCAGATTGGTAATAATTAATTTAATTTAATTTAAATATATTAAAATTTTTACATTTGATAATTAAAAAAATAATATTTAATCCGAAAAAATCTTTAACTTTTTTGATGACCGTCAATTTTATTCAAACATCAAATAAAAAATTACATAAAATGGCTGGTCTGTCTCATTCTGTCAATTTGAGCAAAGCTAAAATGAACGGGAAAAAAAACAAAAAAGAAGGACTGGCTCAGACAGAAACAAGAAAGCAAAACAAACAAACAAAAAGACTGAAGAAACTAACATAACAAGAACAGAAAAAAGGCAAACAACATCATAGAAACTAAAGCAGTCCTACCTCTGATTGTAATCCCCAATTTTTGCCAGTAGATATGATTTAGCCTAAAGTTGAGAAACCTTGCTACACGAACCATTTTTCTCCCACGCACAAATGCTTAGAAGCACGTATTTAGTTCCATGAAGCTATATCATACAAAGAAACTCACAGATATGCTTCCGAGAGATAATGTCACTACGAGGCATTGAAGCAACCCAACGCCTCATAACTGCAACAAAGATGAACATGGAATCTAAATGGTGATAGATCTTGGCCCATGATTCTCTGAAGCTGAAAGGATGGTACCACTCCTAAAAGAAGCCAGTGATGCATCGCTTTTGTAACAACCAGACACTAAAACACTAAAAGACAAATAGAAGCAATACTGTGAGATAGGCCTCTAAGTGGCTGCTAACCAACTTATAGGCCCCAGCAATATCATAAGTATTTGCGGAGCTTTTTGGTAGAAGCTCCGCAAGAACTTAGAATAAGATCAAAAGGTTCATCCAAAAGACAATGTCTTCCCCCCTTAACTGTAAAATCCGAGAATCCTCTAACATCTCTATTTGTGATAAAATCATTTTATTTTAGGGTAATATAATTTTTGGTACCTCAAATTTGCCTTTTGATTTTAGTTCCTCAAGTTTTAAATTATAGGTTTCGGTTCTTTAAATTTCTTTTCATCTGGAATATTGGTGCCTATAATTTAGTGGACCATTTTGCTTCTTAAAATACCAAAATCTATAAGTTGAAACTTGAGAGACTAAAACCAAAATTTATTTTAACTTGGGGAGCCCAAAATTGTATTAACTTTTTAATGTTTGGTTTGTTTTATGTTCATCATGCTTAGTTTTCTTATCTAGTTTGTATGCTATATTATACTACCTCTGGTCCTAAATATAAGAGTTAGTTAACTAATTTAAGTAGATTAAGAAAATAAGTTAAGTTAGTTATTTGTTATAAATAGATGTTGTATTTCCTTAAATATCCTTGCTAATTAAGTGTATTGACTAAAATTATCATTATTAGAAGGACTACCTTGAGAAAAAAATGAATAAATATGAGAGACAAAGTGGATTAAGATCTTATATTTAGGACAAAAATGAAAGTCAAACAAGGTCTTATATTAAAGACCGGTACCTGTTTATTTATGTTGGCTGCTGGCTTTTTCTGACTTATTTTTTTGGGTAAGATCTCTTGCTTGTAGATATTCCTTCCACTTGCATTTTTTAAATCTGGACCATTTTTCACATTGCTCGTTTGTTGAGCTATTCAATGCGCTGCATTTTAAGGACTCAACCTCCTCTGTATAATTTATAATTTATTATCCACATAAAATTTACTCCCTCCGTTCCTTATTATAAGAGATAAATAATCAAATTACGTTGATAAAAAAAACAGTTAAAATTAGTTGAGGACAATTAATATGTAAAAAGTATAATATTTTTTTCCAACAATGCCCCCATTAATAAGGAGAGAAAGTATGAGAGAGAACAATTAAATTATTAAAAGAAAGAGAAGTGGGAGGGAGAGAGAGCATGAGTTGGAGACAAAATAAATAGGGGTAAAATAGGAAATCAATACAAAAAATAGAGACAACTTTTAAGTGTCTCTTATATATGGGAACATGCTATAAGTATCAAATGTCTCTTATATTGGCAAAAAAAAAAATCAAATGTCTCTTATAATAAAAAACGGAGGGAGTAGTTAAGTGTTGTCGGATGAGTTCATATTACCAATTTAATACCATTTATGACAGTTTAGATGGCCAAATAACCTATTAAAGAACTATGTATAAAGCTTTGCATACTCATTAAACTAATGCAAAAAAATCCCCAAAAAAAAAGAAACAATGCATGCATGTGAAAAGAGTATCTTTATGGAGTAACGCATCCCACGGTCAAATGTAAAAGAACAAGAGATCTGGAACATAAATATTATATTGCAGGAAGATAACTGTTGAAACCTCCACATCATTTTTCAAACTAATATTAATAACAAGTGACCGTGCATATATTGGCCAGTATATTAAACATATATCAGCAACGCACATGTATGCTTCATGTTTGTCTTTGTATTTGCTAGCCTCTCTTGGTGATATCTCTGATGAAGGCATTGATATTAGTTTGAGAAGAGCCACCATTTGCTATTGAAAGCTGATATACACGTTGAAGATCTTTGGCTCTCTTTCTCATTTCTTTTCCTCCTTCATCATCCAAATCCATAAACTTCTGCAACAACCCAGAAATCTCCTCTCTGCTTATCAATCTTTGAGGATCAAAATCTTTCCTCACTCGCCACCCAACCTTCCAATCCTCCATTATCATCTTAGAATTGAGATGTTGATCCCCCATTATTGGAACAGTAAGGAAAGGAACGCCGGCAAAAACACCTTCTTTAGTAGAGTTCCAGCCACAGTGAGACCAGAAACCACCTATAGCATCATGCAGTAACACTCTAAATTGCTCACACCATTCTATAACTAAACCCTTATCTCCACAAATCTCTCTTAGCTTATGAGTCTCTTTTCGTGCTACCCAAAGGAATCGAACTCCGCTTAAGCGTAAACCTGCTGCGATTTCGTCAATCTGAGCTTGTGAAACTGAGAGGAAGCTTCCTTGTGAGATGTACAGGACAGAGCAAGAAGGTTGCTTGTCCAGCCATTGAAAGTAGGCTTTTTCAGTGTGGTTATCAGAGGTTGAAGAAGAAGAGAGGTTTGGATATGGGATTGCAGGGCCAATAAGGTAAATGGGCAAAGTGAATGAAGATTTTAGGACATGAATGGCTAGAGGTTCAAGGTCGTAGGTTGTAGGGAATAATAGATACTGTGATTTAGGGAGTGTTTGGATAAAACCAAACCATGGTTTGGAGAATAGCTTCTGGAGAATAGATTCTGAGGAGAATAGATTTTGTGAAGAATAGATTTTGTGAAAAGTGATTCTGAGAAGTGAGAGTGTTTGGATAGTTATTACCAGAAGTACTTTTTATATGTGCAAATTACTAAAAAGGGTATAAGTTAATATGATAATTACATAAAATATAGATTTTATAATATATTTTAATTTGAAGGAACAAAATTGTTAATAATATATTTTTTTACCAACATAATTAATAAATAATTAACATGTGTATATATATTTATAAAATATAAGATTAAAAATGTTTCTGGAAAAAATAAATATTTTTTACCAACAGAAAAATATTATTTTATTTTAAAGATTATAAATATGAAATATCATGATATTTTTTGACAAAATAAATAAGCACACATTAAAACAATTTATTACTTATTATAGTAATTATCTTTTCCGCTTTATGATTCTTTCAGGCTCACTCTCTTGCTGCGTCAGGACCAAATGACTGTAAACAATTTCTCCATGCCAACAACGCAAGCGAGTCAAGGGGCATTTTTTGTCCAAATAATTTCTGACAACCCAACAGCGAAAGCTTCAGCACCAGAAGCAAGATAATTTTGCTTTCCACAGAACCAAGGTTTTAGAGGTTAAAACCATGGTTTCAGATGAAACCATGGTTTCAAAATATTGGAGGCTGTTTGGGTAGCATTTTCCCCAAACCATGGTTTGGGGTGCTACCCAAACAGACCCTTAGACATAGAAGAAAGGAGGTTTAGCCGCCATTGCAAAATTCTCTGTCTGGGAAGGCTTCCATCAATAAGAGGGAAATCCGCCAAACGAGTTGAGGAAATTCCAGGAACATAATCCACACGTTTGTCTCCCACTTCTGTTGCAAACAAATCATAACACAGTACAAGTTTGAACATAAAGATGTTGAATTAGGTATTTCAGAAGATCGGAAAACATTTTAGAATTAGGAAAATGAGCTGACCCAATTACATTGGATTGGGTTGTGATAGGTTCTAAAAGGATCAAATTGGAATCTAAAAAGCCTGGATATACAAAATGGACCTTATTGGCAAAACCCAACCTCAACCTCGCGGATCCAAGGCCAGCACCCCAGCACTATAGGCTTCCTTTTATAAATGTACATACATACATACATATTTACTTACATACAAATATTTTTTCAAATAATAAAGTATTAAAAATTATAAATTCCTAATTCAAATCATAATATATATAGTTATATAAGTATAAAAATATTTTCTAATAAAAAAATATTAACACATATAACATAAATCAAATCGTTATGAAATCTCTGTCAACCCATTTTTTAAAATTCAGATTTGTCCAAACCTAAACAAACCAAACGATTTTATAAATTTTGGGGGGAAAAAAGGTAAACAGTAACAACAAAATATTTGGGATATCGTTATCATACAAATTTGGTAAACAATAACAACAAAATATTTGGGATATCGTTATCATACAAATTTACTATCATATCCTACTGTAAAGATGAATATGTTAATAAATCTCGGAACAACATAGTAAAACTCAATTTTGTGAACTTCTATTGGCTGAATTTTCTCCATTTTGGTTGTCGTTTACTCAACAAAATCAAGAAGAAATTTAAAAAGCGTAAATTTCACCACAAGTCGTTGTTGCAGCTAAACAAGTAACGATTAAAATTTCTAGCATCCACTACTTGCAAATTTCTCACACAGATCGTAAAACAAAGTACCGACCTAATGCATTGATGGGATAATGTCCATGTTGCTCGAAGAGATGAAGATGTTTGATGAGAGAGAGATACGACGCAGACATCGGCCAAAACGACGCAACTGCCATATTCCTCCGATTTCCGACTTCAACGGCCCAATAGAGACAAGCGTCATATATGAGAAGTGTAGGCGGCGGCTCAAGCCGATCGAGGAGCTGCTCAAACGGAGCTTCCATCTTTGTCATGACTGCTGTTATGAAGCCGAAACGGTCGGCTGCGCGGTCCACCTCGGAGGGGATGACGTTGGGTATAGTGCTGAACCGGAAACTACGGGGCTGGGCTTGTGAGCCGATGAAGCCGAGCCATTCTTCAGTGAGGACGATGGTGACGAGGATGTCGGGATTGTTGGAGAGAAGCAAGTCACAGAAATTGAGGAGGGGGTTGACGTGTCCTCGACCAGGGAAGGGCAAGGCTACCACGTGGCAGGTGGCGGTTGGTGGGACTTCCATGGAAATGAAATAGTGTTGCAGAGGTGAGGAAGACTGATGAAGATGCTCCTTTAACTACGTTTTTGGCCACAAGTTCTTCGATCTCTTTGTTTCTTTGTTTTTTTATTTTAAAAATCTAAGAACGCCAAAAAACGCAGAGTTATGTGACTAAAATCCTCCTTCTGGCTCTATAACCTGTAGGAACAAGAAGCTCTTCTGTTTTGACTTTCCTGGCTTTGATGCTTGTGATTTTATGAAATGAGTTTCGGTGTTAAATAGAGTAATAAGTCCTACCAAGAATTTATCATTCCTATGCGCTCACTACTTAGATGGCTAAGATTGGATTTTATTTTATTTTTTATTTTTAAAATTTTTGTTAAAAAATTATTTTAATATGCAGAATTTAAAATAAAGATAATTCCATAATTATCAATTTTTCAAAAAAAAATAATTTTTATTTAAAAATTATTAATTAAAAATTTATATTAGACATTGAAATTGTCTTTATATATATAAGCACTGTAATTATCAGCATTATAATACTCATCAATGATCATGCATCAAACTGGAACTAATTTTAGTATTTATCATAGTGATAAGCACTATGATACTTATCATTACGATGAAATCTATACCATTCAAATTCAATTTTAATAGTTTAGATTTAAAATTTTTAACCAATAATTTTTAAATAAAAATGATTTTTTAAAAAGCTTATAATGAAAAGATTACTGCTCTGCTTGGAGGGGAAGAAAAGTTAGGAGAAGAGAAAATTGGAGGAGAGAAAATAGAGAGAAGGAAAAACTAGAAGGAAAATATTATCATCCCTCTTGCTTAGATAGATGAGAGAAAATAGAGAAGAAAGAAAATTAATAAATATCCAAATGACTAAAATGTTCTTATTAAATATATCATATTTAAAATTAAATTAAATTAAATATTGTGATAGAAAGATTATACTAACATTGGCATCATCAAATGATTAAAATCAAGTTATTTGGTTGATATATATTTTCAGATTATTATATCTTAAAGCCAAATTATTTAATAAAAATAATGTTTTAAGATTAAAAAAATAAAAAATGAATAAATTTAAATATAATAAAAGAAAATAAATATGGAAAGTAAGAGATAGTAGGGGTAGTTATGAAAATCTTATTTTCCTTCCCAAATTTCTCCATATATGGAGAGAAAATGAGACATGGGGCCCACTTTATTTTCTCCCCACATTTTCTCTCCTACCCAAACAAGAGAAAAGTTGTTTTCCCCCCGTGTTTTCTTCTATTGTTTTCTTTCCTCCCTAATTTTCCCTCAATCCAAGCAGGGGGTACATTTATTTTTGATTATCTACCTACTGGATCTTAGCCGTCCATGTTAAAATTTAATAAGCATTATAGTGCATATGAGTATGTAACTGTTATGACCACTGATTCCATCAAACCGACCAGTCCTGTGACTTTGTGTGTTAATTCCATTGTATTGAAAACCGGACCGGACCGGCCGGTTCAGACCGGAAACCGGTGAACCGGCCAGAAAACCGGTCCGGTTAAGTTGTGAACCGGGTTACTGTGTAACCCGGTGTGACCCGGCTTGAACCGGGGTGACTCGGACTGAACCGGGGTGACCCGTCCGGTTTGGTGGATCAACCCGGTCTTCTCTTTTTTTTTAAAAAAAAAATATTTTGATGATTTTTTTAAAAAAGCTGTTGATAATTAGGACTTAGTGATTGAGTAATTATAAGAAAAAATATTTTATTATCATATATCCATTTTGATATTTTGTTGGGATGAATATTTAGTGATTTTAGTAGTATGATATTATAAGAAACTGTGAGAATGTAATTATTTTACTAGTAATTCAAGATATTAAATTGATATCTAATTCTTAGTGAATATTTAAATTATTTTTTATTTTTTTATTTCTTACCGGTTTAACCCCCGGTTTAACTCCGGTCTGACCCAGTGACCCTTGACCCATCACCTTGACCGGTTCAATTGCCGGTCCGGTTTTCAGTACCTTGGTTAATTCTCAGCACGCCAGTAATGACCAAACTCCTTTACGTCTCTTTATGGGTCCCACCACCTTCAATCAACGACCGTGTCGCCAAATTCAACATTCGGGGAAAGTTAAGATGGGTAGATCACAATGAACTAGTGATCCTCCAGTTCTTTTTATATCAAGTGATAATATTTTAAATAGATTTAGTATTTTTTATAAATTACACTTTGACGAATATACTCGTATTTAAAATTTTAATATGTTTATGTTGGTATTGGAGTTATAAAAAAAATCTACTTGTACTCAAATTGCATTGAGGTTATCAACCCAATCACCAGAGGTTATAATAGCGTGATCACCTTTTTAGAGATCTAATAGATGAAATTTCGATGCTAATACATAGAAATTAGCAGGTGATATTCATTCATGTTCATAAGGAGGCACTTCCAATAATTGCAGATCAGTTAGCAAAACTCTCCCATTACTTAAAAGATTTTTTTAAAAAAAAAATTCTAGATCACCCTCTACTTCTGTTTGAGGAGGCAGAAGCTTATGTTAATGGTATTCAGTTTTACATTAAAAAAAATTAATACATTTTTCTAATTTCATCTCTAATTAATTATTGTTTCTATGTTAATCATAATAGGTTTCCACATATTCTCTCTCACTCACCCTCTCTAGTCTCTATATTTTTCTGGTCCCATTTATTATTAGGTAGAAAAAGAAGATTTTTATTGGTTCTATTTATAAGTCATATCATTAAAAATCTTTATATAAATATACAACTTTACTTTTTATTTATTATGGTGTAAATTTTGTTCTCATAGAGTACAATATATATTAAATAAGAATAAAGTTGAAAAGCTATTAAATTTTAAAATAGAGTTAATAAAATTTAAATTTTTTTAATTCTAATGAAAAATATTAGAAGTGACTTAATTATAAATAAAAGCAAATAATATCAAATGTAAATTCAAATTTTAGTTTTTCCAAATAAATTAAAATGCATTATTTGTACTTAATCACACTAAAAGAAAAAAAGAAAATTGCTCAGAGTTAAATACAAAAGGGTTCAAAACTTCCATATTTACATGTCAACCTTACATATTTACAAGTTAAATTACGTTACAAGTTAAATTTAACGATTCATATATATATATATATATATATATATATATATATAAAAGCAAAGCTTTCATATTTACAAGTCGAATTACATGATTTATAAGTCAAATTATTTGTCTTTTAAATAATAAATTTTGTAGGACCTCTCTATAAGTAATAAAAAAACCTGAAAATTACTAAATCTTAAATTAAACTTGTTTTATACGATTTAGTAGGTTTTGACTACACTGCACTTATAAATAACAATATATTTTTATAAAATTTTATAATTTAAGATTTAATTATTTTGATATTTTTTGTGAGATTTTTCCTATTTAATAATTTTACCAGAGGCTGATGGGTTGCACTATATAATTTATCTATTCTGTTGAAAAACAAGTTAACTACAGCTATACTAAAAAGAAACTTGACATATGAAAAAAGAAATTGATGATGGCCAGATAATAAACTCTTATATCATTTTGAAGCAAAAAAAAAAAAAACTAGAAATAAAAACTGAAGGATAAATTAATTAAAAAAAATGGACCTTAATTAATCCGAGGGAGAATCGAGCTTCAAGGTAAAACTCACCATGCTGGTCGGAAAAATAAATAAATAAAGCTAAAACTCACCATAAAGAAGAAACCTGAACTACGAAAAAAATAAGAGGTTGCACCTGAATATGTAGAGAAAATAAAATTTTTTGTGGCTTTGCAATTGTATATAGCTAGGCTGCGAATTTAACAAGCGTCCATGAATTTTTAGAGCAGTAAAATCATTCATATATTTTTAAAAAATTTCACTTTTTTTAAGAAAAAAATAAAAAATAAGAAATCAGAACTTCCTCAAAGAAGTTTAATTTGTGGTGAATAATTTGCTTGTTATTTTTCGTCCCGTCCAGCATCAAAATGGTTTTCAGAATATCCAATGCTTTTGAAATACCCAGCGTAAGGGTAAAATTGCAACTTTTTTTAAAAAAATTTTTATAATAAAAATGTCTACTAATCTTAATAGTTTAAATAATAAAGTCTCTCCTTAATAAATATCAGATTTTTAACTTATTATGCCAAGCTTCATTCCTTTAATAAAAGAAAAAAAGTGGAATTCTAGTGGAGCACTGAAGACAGAAGATAAGGTTGAGACCTGAGAGTTACAATCACAATTAAATTAATTAAATGTCTTAAAAAAATGAAGCCTTGACCTTGAATTCCACGCAACTGAATAATTCAGGAATTTCTGCCCCATTTTTTGGGGTTTTGTATAGGCACTGAGGCACATTAACTATGGCCCACAGCCAAACTCTCGAGAGACCAAAAAACGTTCCGTTGCCGGGACTCGAACCCGGGTCTCTCGGGTGAGAGCCGAGTGTCCTAACCAACTAGACTACAACGGACGGTTGATCATGGGATCAACACTTATTGAACTTTAACTATGCACGTCAATTTGATTATCATGCCCATCCTCATTAATGGTGTATTTGGATAGGTACAAGGAAAAGTAATTTTTATTTTATCTAACTTCTACAACCATAAAAGTCGCTTAGAATAATTTGATTTATGCTTGAAGCAAAAAAAAAAAAAACCAATTTGACAAGATGAAACTTATTTAGATAGTTAATTGAAAAATAAATTTAGATATAAAATGACTGAAAATAACATGAGTTTTATTTTATATATATTATATGTGTATAATGTGATAATTTTAATAAAAATGCTAAAATCAAAATTATAAAAATAAAAGGATTTGATGTATTATTGAAAATGTTGTAAAATATACTTACTATATTTTAATTAAAATTTTTAATATTAATAACCTTTGATTTTGATTAGCCAAACATAAAAATTAAATTTGAAAAATATATTTCTTGTTTAATTATTATTTTACATTAACAAATAAAAATAATAATAAATAAATCTCAGTAAAATTGTCATTTTCTTTGCAAAGGGCACTTTTTTTTTGGGGACAAGTGAGAGGGCATAATTATCATTACAACGTGATTCATTAGAGAAGCTACATATAATAATGACTTCTAGACATATTAGTAGCAATGAAATACTATTGTTCTCCTCCCCCAAATGATAAATGATTGATTCCAAATATCTATGATTCATATTCTCTATAAAGGACCGGAAATGCCTTGCTTACGTATCATTGGAAAAAGTTAAAAGTTACTTTTCTAGTCCTATTTATAGGACATATAGAGAAAATATTTTTTTTGGTCCTATCTATAGGGTACTGAGAGAAACTTTTTGTATGGATGTATAATTTTACCTTTCATTTATTATTATGTTCACTTGCTCATTTACACTTAAACACTTGCATTTGGTGTTGTGAATTCCATTATGTTATTTGTAAATTGTCAAATTTTTGTTGTAAATTACTGAATTTTACTTGTTCACTTACACTCAAACACTTACATTTTAGGTTGTGAATTCTCTTGTGTTTCTTGTGAATAGCCAAATTTGGGTTATAAATCCATAAACTTTTGTTATAAATCTTCAAATTTCACTTGCTTATTTACACTTAAACACTTATATATTTAGGGTTGTGAATTTTATTATGTTATTTGTAAATTACCTAATTTTTGTTGTAAATTCTTGAATTTCACTTGTAAGTTGTCTAATTTCAATTGTTTACTTACACTCAAACACTTACATTTTGGGTTGTGAATTCTCTTGTATTTCTTGTGAATAGCCAAATTTGGGTTGTAAATCCATAAACTTTTGTTGTAAATCTTCAAATTTCACTTGCTCGTTTATATTTAAACACTTGTATTTGCGGTTGTAAATTTTATTATGTTATTTGTAAATTGTCTAATTTTTGTTGTAAACTGCTGAATTTCACTTGTAAATTGTCTAATTTTAATTGTTCACTTACACTCAAATACTTACATTGTGGGTTGTCAACTCTCTTGTATTTTTTGTAAATAGTTAAATTTGGGTTGTAAATCCATAAACTTTTGTTGTAAATCTTTAAATTTCACTTGCTTATTTGCACTTAAACACTTGCATTTGGGATTGTGAATTTTATTATGTTATTTGTAAATTGCCTAATTTTTATTGTAAATTGCTGAATTTCACTTGTTTACTTATACTTGGACATTTGTGTTTATTTTGTTATATATATTTTTATTTGCATTATATGATTGAATGGTTTGCTTGTCTTGGTGGTTACACCGCTTTTGGTGAGCCAAGAGGTCATGGGTTCAAACCTTCCCTTAACCATCTTGTTTTAAAAAAAAAATTCCGGCCACTGAAACTACAATAACAACCACCGGGGGTTCGGCAACCGGCGCTCATGTATTATAAAAAAATATTTAATTTTAGCTTGAACCCTCGGTCTTGCAGTGATATTTCAGAATGTTTTGGGGGTTGACTGATATAAATTCTCTTCTGCGGTCTTTAAATGAAATTTTCCCTTTTTATTTTATCTAACTTCTACAATCATAAAAGTCACTTAGAATAATATGATTTATGCTTGAAGCCAAAAAAAAAAAAACCAATTTGACAAGATGAAACTTATTTAGATAGTTAATTGAAAAATAAATTTAGATATAAAATGACTGAAAATAACATGAGTTTTATTTTATATATATTATATGTGTATAATGTGATAATTTTAATAAAAATGCTAAAATCAAAATTATAAAAATAAAAGGATTTGATGTATTATTGAAAATGTTGTAAAATATACTTACTATATTTTAATTAAAATTTTTAATATTAATAACCTTTGATTTTGATTAGCCAAACATAAAAATTAAATTTTAAATGAAAAATATATTTCTTGTTTAATTATTATTTTACATTAACAAATAAAAATAATAATAAATAAATCTCGGTAAAATTGTCATTTTCTTTGCAAATTATCATTACAACGTGATTCATTAGAGAAGCTACATATAATAATGACTTCAAGTTAAAAGTTACTTTTTTTGTCCTATTTATAGGGCAGAAAGAGAAAATATTTTTTTGATCCTATTTATAGGATACTGAGAGAAACTTTTTGAATGGATGTACAATTTTACCCTTTATTTATTATTATGTTGACTTTGTTTAGATAAGGTATAACGTATAATAAATAGGGATAAAGTTAAAAAATTACTAAATTTTAAATGAGAGTTAATGAAGTTTAAGGTTTTTCTTAGTCTGTATAAAATATACTGAAAGTTACTTATAAATATGACCAAAAGAGTACTTTTTTTTTTCCCTCATGAAGCTCTTTTATTTCACTGTGATGCAAATGAAAAATTTTGATTGGAAGTTACTTTTACCGGTGAGAAGTCAGTTTGGGATGCCAAACCTGATCTGATCCCAAACACAGCCTAAAACAATTCCTAAATTATAAGATATCTTAGGTTTTTTGAAAAAAAAAAACTTATTTCTCAATTTCATTATCTTTGCTTTGAAATTTAATGTTGTGTACCAACTAGGGCTTGATTAACCATGTAAAGATTGGAAAGCAGAGCAACTAAAACGCGAGAGTAATAAATTGGGTACTTTGCAATATCATGAAACTCATTGAAAAAAAAAGCTATGAATAATTTAAATAAGTTTTAATTACTTTATTGGTTAGATAACTTAGAATTAAAGTAAAAAAATTAAAACCATAACTAAAAAACAAACCAAATTCAAGTTATTTTCCTTATTTAAACAGCATATTAAAAAAGACAGAACTTAATTATATCAACCCCTCTTTGTAATATCTTTGACAAATGCATTGATATTAATTTCAGAAGAGCCACCTTTTGCTATTGAAAGCTGACATATCCGCTTAAGCTCTTTAGCTCTCTTTCTCATTTCTCTTCCTTCTTCATCATCCAAATCCATAAACTTCTGCAACAAACCAGAAATTTCATCTCTAGTTATCAATCTTTGAGGATCAACATCTTTCTTCACCCTCCACCCAACTTTCCAATCTTCCACTATCATCTTGCTGTTGAATTGTTGATCCATCACAATGGGAAAAGTAAGGAAAGGAACACCAGTAAAAACACCTTCTCTAGTAGAATTCCAGCCACAATGAGACCAGAAACCACCTATAGAATCATGCATTAACACTGTCAATTGCTCACACCATTCCAAAACTAAGCCCTTATCTCCACAAATCTCTCTTAGCCTTCGAGTCTCTCCTCGTGCTACCCACAAGAATCGAACACCGCTTAGACGTAAACCAGCTGCGACTTCTTCAATCTGAGGGTTTGATACTGAGAGAAAGCTTCCTTGTGAGATGTACAGCACAGAACAAGAGGGTTGTTTGCCCAGCCATTGAAAGTAGGTTTCTTCAGAGGTTGAAGAAAAGAGATTTGGGTTTGGTATTGTAGGGCCGATAGTGTAAATGGGCAAAGAGAACTCAGATTTTAACACATGAATGGCTTCAGTTTCAAGCTCGTAAATTGTGGGGAATAACAGATATTGTAGTTTTGGTATACAAGAAAGAGCTTTTGAGCCCAATTGCAGCATTCTTCGGCTAGGAGAGCTTCCGTCGCTAAGGGGAAAATCCACTAGACGGGTTGAGGAAATTCCGGGAAAATAATCCACACGTTTGTGGCCTACTTCTGTTGCAAACATTTTCAAGCGAAACAAACATGATTTTAGTTTAGTAGTTCAAAACTTAGTTTATTAATACTTACTTATTAAATCCCAGGTAGCAATAGAAATTATTAAAAATTAAACTTGTTATAAAATTCAACTAATTTTTAATATTACTTTCATTAACTGCTCTAACTAATTCACACCTATTAATTAATTATAAGAGACTACTAACTACTTCACACCTAACATAAAAACAGTAAAAAAAATTAAAGTTTTCATAAAATTCGAGTAATTTTTAATATGACTCTCATTAATTATACTAAATTTCAATATCATACTAATTTTTATTCTTTCACCATTTTTATTAAATATGGGCGTATATGAAATTAAAGAAAATATTTAGTGTTTGTTGAAACTGTCATAGGGTTTTATAATAAGGAAAAAAGGGAGTATGAGATTTCAATCTCCTTTACTTCCCCAATTTATAAATTATTTGTCAAATTATCCTTATTGCTTGCATAGGGGTTCCATTATATGGGAACAATGATTAAATATTATTTTTTACAAAAAATAACATATGTTTATTATAAATAAATAATTTAAATATTTTTTTTAAATATTTATAAATTAGGTATATAGTTTTTATATCCAGAACCGAATGGAATACATATTTCAAACCTTTAAAACACTTTCCATCTATTTATTTTTTTCCGAAGGATGAAAAGTCAAGGTTGATGGCGTTGCATCATTTTCATTTTAAAAAGGTAATGATTTTCCCCTGAAGTAATGATAAGAATTTTAGCCACCACTTAAAAATTCTCAATCATAAGAGTAAACCAAAGCAGAAAACAGATACCGACCTAACGCGTTGACGGGATAATGGCCATGTTGCTCTAAGAGATGATGGTGTTGATACACAGAGAAAAACGACGCAGACATAGTCCAAAACGACGCAACAGGGATGTCCCTTCGATTTCCGACTCCGACGACCCAGAAGAGAAGAGTATCGTATATAATGAGTGTAGGCGGCGGCTCAAGCCGATCGAGGAGCTTCTCAAACGGAGACTCCATCCTTGTCATGACAGCTTCGACGAAGCCGAGAAGGTCGGCTGCACGGTCCAGTTCGGAGGGGATTACGTTGGGTACAGTGCTGAACCGAAAATTGATGGACTGGGCTTCTGAGCCGATGAAGCCGAGCCATTCTTCAGTGACGACAAAGGTGACGAGAATGTCAGGGCTTTTGGAGAGAAGGCAGTTACAGAAGTTGAGTACGGGATTGATGTGGCCTCGACCTGGGTAGGGCATGGCCACCACGTGGCAGGCCGCTATTGGTGGGACTTCCATGGGAGAGAGAAATGTTGCAGAAGCAGGAAGTTATCCAAGTGAAGACGATGAAGAAGGAGAAGAAGCTCTTCGCGATGAGGTGTTGGTTGGCGGGCGAATGGTTTTTGGCTTCCTTAGTTATGTCTCTCGTTGGGTCCCAATCCAATGACCACTAATCATGCACGCGCATTCTTCTTCTCTTTGGAGTAATTTACGGAAGTATGGATTACGATTTGTTTCTTCTTCTTTTTTAGGGTCCGTTTGGATCAGCGATTAGAAAAGTAGCTTATTGAAAAAGTAGCTTATGGAGAAGTGAAGTTGGTAAAAGTTAAATTAGATAAGCTGAATTATGTTTGGATTGAAATTCAGAAAAGCTAGTTTGCAAAAGTAAGATTGGTAAAAGCTTGTTTGGATTATAGTTGAGTAAAAGTAAGTTTGGTTGTAAAATGACCAAAATGGATATAAATTTTAATAAATAATGAAACATGATAAAAAAATGATTTAACATAATACAATAAAATTAAAATAATTTATTATGAAGAAGTCAAATTTAATAAATGAATTAAATTTTAAAACTTTAAAGAAATCATAAAAAATATTCCTTTGGTCCTAAATATAATACCTTAAAAAAAGGTCTTATATTTAGGACAGGATTTACACTATAAAAAGAGTCTTATATTTAGGACCGGATGAGTAATTTAAATATAAAGTAAAACATGAAAAAATAAATAAAAGTGAAAAAAAAACAATAGAGGATATGGGAGAGGTCTGAGAATTTGAGGTGAAAAAAAAAAACTCAGGAAATGTGTTAATATAGCCGAAGTAAGGGGGTGGGGGTGGGGGTGGGGGTGGGGGAAGCTCTGACACGTGCAACAGTGAAAAAGCAGAATAAACTCCAAAATAAGCTACAAAATGCAGCTTCTCCCCCAACGCTGGTTTAATAGCTTAAAACAGATAAGCTCCTTTTGAAGTTAAGCCCAACCAAACGGGTGACCACCTTGTAATCGGGTTTGTAGCAAAAATAAGCTACTTTTCACCCCAAATAAGCCCAACCAAACAGGCTCTTAATTTGTCATTACCATTTACCACCGATATCTTTCAAATCTTTTATTTCTGTGCAATGCACGTGCATTCTCCTTAGCGCAAAAAGGCAAGATGGCTTTGAAGTTTGAGCATACCAGTAAAAAGATGGAAGGGGGAGAGAGACAGAGTGGCGAAACATTATTAAAATACTCTTTTAGTCTTATTTATAAATTATTTGTAATATATTTCACACAAATTAAGAAAAATTTTAAACTTTATTAACCTTCAGTTAAAACTCACCAACCTTTCAATTCTATCCCTATTTAATATGTATTATAACTCATGTAAACAGAACCAACAAAATAGCAAATAAAAAATGAAATCGTATATCTATATAAAAAATTTCTCTTAGTATCTTATAAATAGGAGCAAAACACATCTTCCTTCTCTACCCTTTAAATATGACCATGGGAGTACTTATAATAGAAACTTTCTCACTATTAAAACTCTAAGTTATATAACATATTAATTATATTACATATGAAAGAGAAAATTATATAAAATTGGGCAAACATAATAGAACAGTGAAGTTACAAAGCCACCATAACCACTATGAGAAGCACCCAAATCGATGGCTAAATTAGAATCTTCAATAAAATGGGAGATAGAAAGATATATTCACTTAGTTCTATTTATAAGATATTTTCAATATATTTCACACAAATCAAGAAAAATCTTAAACTGCATTAACTGTCTATTAAAATATAATAACTTTTTAATTTAACTTTTATTTAATATATACACCTTTTAAAAAAATTAACTATCTTCACTACTATGAATGAAGTATAAATAATACATTCATAAAAAAAAATTAGTGACTAATAAAACGGACAAAAAAAAATATCTTTCTCTACCTTATAAATAGGATAAGAGGAGTAACAATTGGTTTCCAATAGCATGAAAAAAAGACATTAGTTACAAAGCAAGGCGAGAAGGTATGTTGTAGGTACTAAATCTAAGGAGGGCAAAGACCAGCATCTTCCAAACAAAACTTTGGATTGATTGAACCAGATAACCGTCACACCCTAGGTTTTGGACCTAAGAATACATGGGTTAGCCTAAGATAGGTAGGCTACTAAATCCCTATGAGCAGGAGTCCCATAAATGTAAAAAGAATGTTGAAGGGTTTTAGGGACTAAACTGTAAATAGAGAAGGTTCTAGGAACTAAAATGTAAAGAAAGTTAGAAGCTCCAATGAAGTCTCAAGGCCCAGAAATGAGAAAAGAGGTTAGTTCAGACCAAAGGTTATGATAGAGGCCATAATAGGATGATTTATGAGGTTTACTTGACCAGGGGCAAAACCGTAATTTTTGAAAAGTTTCGAGCTAAAAATGGGTAAAAATGGAAGTAATACCCAAAAATTCTAGAAAATTTCAGAAAATAGAAAATGACATTTTAAGGCCTATATATGAGGAGAAATGACAAAAATGCCCTTGAGTTGACTTAAAAGGAATTTATAATTAGTTTATGGCTCAGTTTGAGATGTAGAGATAGATTTAATTGTTTGAGTCATAAGAAAACCTCAGAAAATTATGATAAAATGGGGATGTATGATCTAAGAGGCTATAGAATTTATAAAATTAGTCTCAACCCTTGAAGGCCAGTAGAATGGCTTTAATATTTTTTTAAGGCCAAAACTACAGTTTATGGGTTTGTTATGGGAAATTTAAAAAGAAATACTTATGTTCTGAGTTATGATCTGAGAAAATTCATAGATTTTCTACAGAATTAAAAAAATTTTACGGTATAAATAGATGAATTTTTGGGGTTCAGGATTGGATAAAATACTCCAATCAAATATTAAATAATTAATGTCCCTTAATTAGGAGACAAAGTTAGAGAATATCTCAGATATTTTGAGGAAAACAAGTTCAACTTGAATTCTCTTCTTCTTTCCCATGTGCTTCATTTATGAGGGTGATGAGTCATCATATGAGTCACCAGAAGATATTTTATGGGGCAGTAGAAAAATTAGAATGCAATACGGGTAAGTGTTAGACAGTTCCCTATCTACCCGGTAGAGCAAAATTTCTACTATGTGCCTTTTATTGGCCAATATCAATTATTAAAAATACCTAGAGATCTCAGAAAATTATGAGAAACTAAAGGAAATTCATTTAGGAATCATGGAGATTTATAAAATTATTTCCAACCCTAAATGATGAGGAGGTTAGCTTTAGTTGAATTTAAAGCTAAATTAATATCGGTAGATTGTCTGTTTTTACGGAAACAGCAATTTCAAGAGTTATATGGGGAGAAAAATTATGAAATTAATCAAAAAGTTCCTTTTACTGAGATATAATTAATGGTGATTTGATATAAGAATTTTGAGATACTAGAATTTTTCAGCTATCAGATAAAATAAACCAATATTATATTACGATTCAGTAAACTGTCAGGACAACCGGGGTGGTAAAATTTCTGACAGAATGTCAAGGACACATGTCACGCCCAAATTGGCTAAGAAAGGGAAAAAGAAGATAAAAAGAAAAAGGAAAAAAAAATACTAAATCAAGTTAGATTAAAATTTAATTAGGGATAAGTAAAATGATTATGGTTAAGTCATCTTCCGTAGGATCGTGACACGTGGCAAACATGGTTCATTGGATGGCTAGGATTTAACCATCTATCTTTGAAAAGTCAAAAGTTTCTAGAAGGGTAATTAACCAAGTTAATCAAGGAATTAAGAGAGTTAACCTTGATTAAAGCCCAATTAATCTTAATGGATAAGAAGATGACATAAGCCCTAATGACTCACCATCCAAGTGTGAACATATTAAGTCACATAGCCTAAGATTTGTACATGTGGAAAGAGGTAAAAATTGAAGGGCTAAGATTAAATCTTATGCAATAAGGGCAAATGTGGAATTAATGAAAAAGGAAGCCTATAAATACCCCCTCCCACATGTTCATTTTGTGTGAAGCCTTTCAAGTAGGAAACCTCTTGCAAATTTTCATTTAGAGAGAGAAAGAGAAGATTTCTAGTGAGAGAAAGTCATTTGGAAGCAAGGTAAGCTTCTACAACTCTCCTATTTCAAGTATAATAATGACATGTGGGTTTTGTGCTATTTTAATGATGATGGAAAGTCATTTTCCTAAGGGGAAGTGCTGCCTAAATTTTATCAAAATGATAGAAAATGGTTTAGATGAAGTATGGTTAAGATTAAGCATGGTTAAAGGTTAAGGATTAAGTGATTACATGTTAGTTTTGTTAAGAATCCTTTTCCCTATAATTATATATATGGTTTGGCCAAATTGAGAAATGTAGGAGGGAAGATGTTTCAATTCAATTTGATCTTCCAATGAGTTTAAATGATGATTTAGTGTAGGTATATACCAAGAAAGGGATGTTGGAAGCATTAAAAATTGAAATGAAAATTTTGAACCTATTTATCCCTATGGTTCGGCCAAGTCAAATTTAATGGGAAGGGATTGGATTTTCATAAAACTAATATGATAAATGGATTCTACATGAAAAATTATGTAGAAAAGGCCCAAGAAAGTTCAAGAATCAAAGCTAGAAAAATAAACCCTAAAAATCGAGAAAAAAGGGGTTTAAGGGGTTACGTTAAGTTATGGAGTTGAAGTAATGCTTAATGTTGTGTCATTGGTTGCCTAATAGGCTATACACAACAAAGGGACAAAGATCTAGTCAAGAGAAAAGAGTTCAAGAGGAAGGAAAGCCAACAAGGTAGCTTTTGCATTCCATTGCTTGTTAGAGTTACTATACATTGTATGTTCATTACTATGTGTTATGATGTTATGCCATGATGCCTCCATGCATGTATACCTTGATTTATGCAAGGTTGATATGATATGTTATGTTATGATGTTATGTTTTTCCATGGCAAGTACATAATACTCAAGTATGTATGTATGCATGTAGCTTGAATTACATTGTGATGTGTAACCATAGTAATGTATGTAATGTGCTACTAAGATTCCTCAAGAATCTTACCCCCATACTTAACAAACCTAGGGCCTTCAACCTCCAAGAGCAAAGGAAAAGAAGTAGCTATAGTGGAGAGTTAAGTTTGCCTCAAGAAGAAAAAGAAGAATGAAGAAAAACCTTATGTTGGATGAATGTAATTAAGAGTATGCTTTAATGTTTTAAGTTATGGATGTATGTTAG